CAACTGATGGAAGTGCTGCTGCTGGTGATGGTGGTGGTGCTGTTGGTGGTGCTGCTGCTGCTGCTGCTCCGCCGGTGGATACGAGTCTTGCCGGTGGCCACCGCCGCCACCGCCGCCACCGCCGTCGTGCGGTGACTGTTGGTGATGGTAAGCGTACACGGGTGCAGCGGTCGACGGCGGCGGCTGCTGCTGCTGCTGCTGCTGCTGCTGCGGCGGCGTCGTCTGCACCACCGGTCCCGCGGACGGCACCCGCGGCGACGTCTGCGCTTCGAACTGCATCCCGTACTGCAGTTTGCTCTGCACCATGTAATAGTGGTACAGCCAGCTGTTGGCGCGCATCACGGCCGCTTCTTGGTCCCTGCGAACACGCCGAACGCCCAACCCGATCGTTAGTTATACGAATATCGAACACGACCGGACGTAAATATGTTTGAATGATACACTATAACCGACTACGATTCGGACCGTAACTCGGAGGCGGTTTGATCATGAAACTATCGAAAAGTTAGTTCGAACGCCGAACACGGCGGACACGGTTTCGGTTTTTTTCGTTTCACCGAATACGGACACGAAAAGATCAAACTGTTCGGTTTTTATTCCGTTTCCGCGTACGGAGTTTTGCGTTCGCTTTATGGCCACCCCATACACACTGTCCGGTGTACGTTTTTCGACCTACACCGTATACCGTCCATGGACTAATGAAACCGTAGCGTGTGGCCAAGAACATGATTTGCCAAACAAATGATCTCCGACTGTCTATCGAGCTACGCCGAACTGAAAAGGTCAGCCGGAAACAGGGGAGGGTGCAAGACCCGGTCGAAACCAAAAAGACGGACAGAGTTTATTAATACTTTAAAACGCAAACCCGCAAGTATTTCATATCGAGTACCCTAGGGCACGAAACAAGCCCTGCAGATCTCCGTTTTTAGCCGAGTTTGTATCGACCGGAATTGTACGGCCGGCGGAGAAACCTTCTATTTGCCATTGGAATTTATTAAGACCGCACAACTAGACGAGTCGATTCGGTACGGCTTACAACGGATTTAGTAACGTTATAAATTATATATAGGTATGCTATTTAAATATAACGTACGACATTACGGTGTTCAGCCGCGACGCGATTCTCTCGTTTTCATGAAATCGGAATAAAGTTTAATCTACGGTATTATGTTGTTATACGATTTCGTGGAATAGCGCATAATTAACCGTACCGCGTGAACACGAAATGTGAAAACAAAACGCACGTCTTACGTGAAGTAAATCAGTCGAGAGTTACGGCAACCCGGGTCGGCACGAATGGTCGTGTACCTATAAAACAGCGTGATCGTTGTATTGTTTCGACTTGCGTCAGAATTCGCGGACCATCTGCGCGTACAGCGAACTTTTCGGTCTACTCGAAAAGCGTATATTTTCAAACGGTGTTTGCGGATCGATTGCGGTTGCATGGCTTTATTGAGATATGAATAAACGAAGGGAAAAAAAAATATAAAAATTCAATAACCCGTCGAAAGAGTTTCAACGAGCTCTGTGGGTGGCAAGCAAGGGGAGTCGTATATAAGACGTACCTATAGGTATTTACTTTGTTCTTGTATAAATATGTACGCGTGGAAACGTGTATTGGCGATAAAGGCGTGTGTGCGAGAATGACGCGGCGACGGATCCACGGGCGGCACCACTTGCGGTCAGTGAAAAATTTGCATTTCACGGGTATAGGTTAATTTCGTATTATAATGCGATGCGAGCGGAAAAAAAACGCGCATCTTTAACACCGGACGGGTAAGGCGTACGCGGCGAACGTTGCGCTCGAATTTTTTTTTTTTTTCTTCTTGTCCCGCAGACGACCGGGGCGAATTAACATAATTAAATGCTCATTGGATCGTAATATCAATCTCCGCGGTCGAGTAATTAAGCTCAACGTTTTCCGGTTGAGATAGGTCGGCCATAATTGGCCGCGATGAATCATTTCGCTTATCTTCGGTCTCCGCGACCGCGTATAATGTGGTAACGTATGTACCGTGCATTACCCCGGCCGCGGACGACAAGCGATGATCATTTTTTATTTATTTTTTTTCGAATACCTTCGGGATCGCGTGCACGCGGTGAATTCGCCGTACAGTTATGAACGCGTCCGAACGCGGTGAGTGCGGACGTAAATGACCGATTTTTGTTTTCAACGTTCTCGGCAATTTTATTAATCCGAGCACAAAAACCGTTTGTGTCGGCTGGCTGACGCCGCGGCGGCGACGGTTTTAATTTTCTAGATATTCAAATCGGTCCACGACCGTCTCTGCCGCTGTCGAATCGTTTGAGAGTTCATAAACCATACCGGCTCGGCATACCGGAATGATGTGTACGGTTCGCCTCGTACGCACGGAGGTAAACTGATTCGAACGCGTAAGGCATTTTTGTGTGTTCAGAAAGAAAAAAACACGCGTTTTTTCTTGAGAATGTTTTCGCAAAACGTCCGACCGTAAAACGAACATTTTTTTGTTTTCAACAACACACATTGTACGTGCGTACATCATATTGTACGTGCGTTGGATATAAACGTTCGCGACGTAAACCGTGCGCGGCGTACACGCACAATACAGTTGTCCCCCAAAGGTGTCCTCGGAGTGGTTCCTAGCCGGTCGTTCGGACATTGACAGTTTTATCGCTGACAGAAGGGGTGGGTGGGTGGTGAGAAAAAAAAAAAAAAACACGAAAAACTCGCAAGCGAAAATACCGCGAACGCACTCGTGTATAATTAAACCGAGCGCATACGCACACGTGCACCACCCGCGAGGCGTATTTCGGACGTCAAAACGTTTGATATTTGTTCCGCAGGACGCGTTATAATACCGTACGTGCATATTTTCATGTTTCCGACGTCATAATTCCGAGAGACGGACCGTCGGCGTCCGCCGTGCCGATCACAGTACGTAAACGATAAGCACTCGTATGTCTACACGCGGGTACCACCCACGCGTCGGCGGCGGCGGTGGCTAGGACCTGTAATAATGTCCGGGCGGCGCAGGACGACCGCGGTGACCGACACGTTCGCAGTGGTACGCAACACACGCACAAAGGTCAACGTGACGGTAACCTTCCGCGGGACCGTCGTCGGCGGAGCGGTACGCGTAGTGCACATACTTTTTCCACAGTTTTCATCCGAGGACGACGGGGCGAGTGATCCGTCCGTCACGACCGTGGACGATTTCAGAAGTCTCGTTAATTGCACGTTTCGCCGTTTTTTTTTCATTTTTTTTTTTTTTCCTTACATTTCTGGCTTATATTCTCCTCTCGCCGTCCACGCCTTTCGAATACAATGTACGCGCGCAACGCTTTCCAACGGCGGTTTCCGTGATATCCCGGTCCGTACGAAACGTAATGACAATGAAAACCGCGACCGTAATAACCGACCGCGTCGGGCGAGAACGTGTCCCCGACAAGTCGTCGCAATCCGCGATTACGACGAAATTTCACGCAAACGTCGGACGGACACGCGCTGACGTGGTACGATGTGATTACACGTCGTCGGCGCACGGATCGTGACGCGCGACCGCCGCCCGCGGCACCGAACCGTCCGATGATATTCGGGTGAACAGCAAAAGGACGAGAAAAAGCTAAAATATTCAGACGGAAGTGTACGGTTTTTTTAGTCGTCCGGTAGCGGGATTATTCCGTCCGGTAATCACACGTGCGGCTGACGGGTATTGTGACGGCGATCCTTCCGGCGAGGGAGACACGATCTACTGCCGGCAACGGAAATCAATAAAACCGATTGGTCTTTAACGCCCGAACGATTTAGACGTGGACATTTTAACCGAACAGTACACAAAACGTTGTTTTTAACATGTGAATGGCGTTCGGGTAAAACTTTCGATAGTGTTTCTTTGAAAAAGTCTATGTCTACAGTAAGTTTAATACAACGTATGCCGTACAGATTTCAATGGTGCATCAGCCTTGAGAGTTTTATATTGTTCTGTTGTTCGCTTTAAATTTGAGTATATTTTCTTAGTTTGACTTACAGATAGTATTTTGCGAAATCAATGTTTAACGTCCATTAAAAATAATTTTTTAAGATATTTATGTTATAAATGCGCTTTTCAATTAATTTCTCAATCAGGATATGGCGACGATAATCGTTATTTTAAAATAATATCAATAAATAATTAGTTTAGGTTTGAAATTTTCATTCAAATTATTTCGTAATCGAATTGATTGTCTTGAACTCATTCAACGTTTAAATTTTAAAGTTAATTTCTAGAAATAAATCCTATATAAATTTTTATCTTCCAACTGTTTCTAATGCATACGATATATACTTTCTTGTTAATAAACTCATGTCAGTTGGTAATTCTATGTGTAATATTGATTTATTTCATACACCAATCACTGAATTAACAGCATTATTTTATTTATTGAAAATTAAAAATGTTCAATTTTATTTTATTTATATTTTTATTTAGTAATCAATTTTTTATTGTATTAGTTGAAATTAAATCCTTAAATTATTAAATCTATATATTTAAACCAGATTATTATAAAAAAAAAAAAAAAAAAAATAAAAGAAATTTTAAGACGTATTCCAAACAGAAAGTTTATTTGACACGCCAACCGAAAAAGTAAACGTACGTATGAGATTCGAAACCGTAGAAAAAAAATAATATGATTTTAATCGTAAACAAATAAATTAGCTTTTAGATTGAGTCGTACGATTAAAAGAATAAACCATTATATGATTCAACTCGTTTTTTCTGTACGTTGCAGTATCAAGCAATACCGATAAAATCCAGGTCGCAGGAAGCATAAGGCACATGAAAAATTACTGTTCGTTCGTGTCGCCATAGAAAATAGTTCAATATTATAACATTTGAGAATATAAAAAAACAATTGTAAAATAATCAACATCACTAAAGTACTGCGATTATCATGTTTAATCAGGTTAAGTCAGTATATAAAAAAATAGAAGACGTGTAAATAAAAAGATCTTCGGTGTTGGCCGGGTGACTCGACCGCTACGTTTGCGTCCGTACGCGTACTATTCGATCAGCGCACAAAGGACACACTAGTTCCAACTAGTGCTCTGCACGGTCCGTTATTTCATGACCGGGCCGGACTTCAAATTTTACCAGGGGACCGAAGTCGGACCGGACCGACGGCTTTACATTACTTTTATACCGGACCGGACCAGTAATTGAACAACATTTAATAAAGTAGACCGTGAACCGGGCTTTCGGTTCGATCGCGAAACATTTCGGACCGTTTATGGACACCGATCCGTAAGGTTCAGACTGCATTAGCCCAGACCGTACCGTGTGATGCGTTTAGTATTACACTGGACCGGATTGCCCGACTTTATAAATAAATATTTGC